AATTATGCCTAGAGACCCCTTAGGTCTGCGGACTAAGGGAGACTTTACTTTTTGCCCCCGGACTTGGGGAAGTACCCCAAGGGCCTGCATTGGGTTGAGCACCCATAGCACTATTAGGTCTGTGTTTCCCCGAGGATACAGGGCCGAGACAGTCCACTCTCGGGGTGGTGGCAGCACGTTACCCCCAGACTAGCGTGTGTGCTCTGGGAGAGGGGTCGGCCGGACATAAGGCGCCCCTAGGGAGGCATTCGGAGCCTGGAAGGTGGTCGGGCGCAGGGAGATGGGCGGCTCGACGCAGCAGCACCCCCTACTGGCCCGCCTCACGTGGTGGAAACAGCGGAGGGATACGAATACCCAGCTGTGTTCCTGAGATGGGATCTCTGCACCCGCCAGAGGCTGTCCAGAGCCCTTTAGTCCAATGACCCTTTGTGCCCAGGCTGGTTTATACATTTTGTTTCCTGTATATTCTTTACTGGGTTATTATAGGCAAAATCTGCACCTCTGTCTCCCCACTTGGGTGCCTCGACTATAGCATCGGGGGTGTTGGGTATAACCATGTTGGTCTAAGGATGTAGGCAAACAAGGTTCTTTGGATAGATGTGATATCTTTTATTAAACCAATGAAATAGTTGGAGAAATTGTTCTTTACAAACTTTTGGGTACAAACACCCTTCTTCAGGCATAGGGAAAGTCTGCTGGTGTTGCATGCATGCTCCCAGGTGGGCGCTATGCAAAATGCAAGTCTGTGAAAATGCAAATGCGTGGCTGGGAAGATCAGCAGAGATGGAGGTTAATAGGTGCAAGACGGGCAGGTGTGATAAACTGTTGACCGGTGATAAGATGTAGCTGGTAAAATGTAGAGGTCACCTGGGGTTATCGGATGGCAGGCCGGTTATACTGTACCATAAATCCAGCATCTATACTTAGTCTGTGATTGCTTGTATCCAGTAGGTTGATAAAGTGAAGTTTGTTGGCTTGTCTGTGAAAGGTGTTTTGTTAATTCCCTTTGAGGATTAAACCTGAGACTGGAGTGGGAGAGGTGGTCTTGAGAGATGTGCACCCACCAGGCACTGGTTATTTTTGTCTCGGATAGGTTTTTGGTGCGCGTTCGTTCTGTAGGCAGCTGTTTGGTTTCTCCTACGTTGTTTCCATCTGGGCATTCGATGCACTGGGTGAGAGATCTCGCATTATTTATTACATATATCACATTTCTGGAGGTGCGGCACTCAGATCCAGCAGTGCTGCTGGTTCTGTTGTGGGGTGTAGTTATTGTGGGAGCAGTGCAGAGGTGTTGGCAGGTTTTACGTGTCTTGTCCCGGCAAGGTCTGCTCCTTCGCGTATCACCCACCAGCACCTCTCATGCGTTCGGCGTCTCTGTCTCTTCTCAGGTGTTTCCAGCCTCTCACCCCTTCCAGGTTCTGCTTTGCAATGTAAATGCAATCCTCTGCTTGCTTTGGTCGCCCCGGCCCAAGCCTTCTGGGACCCTCCCCTGCTCCCTTAGCTGTTTCCAGTACACGCGTGTCGTGACTATGCCAGGTCTTTGCCAGCCATCTCAGTGTGGTCTCACCCCTCGCCAGTGTTCGAGAGTTTGTGCATTCGGCACTTGGCACATCTGCTGTCCACTCCACGCGCTGCTCCAGCAATGACATTAAGGCCATGGGGGGAGTTGCTGGAGAGTTTCTGGCTTGCAGAACAGGTTTATTCCAGGGGTTTTATCTTGGGACCAGATGTTTGGGGCTCCCAGCCCACCAGGCACCTCCGCGGGGCACCCCTCACATCAGGGCCACACAAGCAGCGCTGTCTAATGAGGAACAGCTCTGAGCACATGGAGATCTGGGTAGCAGCACAGCCGGGTCTCCCCAGTCATGGTCAAGGCTCTCCTTCTGGCTCTGGGTCGGGTCACTCAGACCGGGGGAGACCCTCATTGCAGCAGGCCAGCGGGCAAGCCGGGAGCCGGCCGGCCCTGGGCAGCGTCCTACTGGCCGTGCCCTGGGGATGGTGGCCGGCTCTGGCCCATGGCACACTTTGTTGTCTTCCCCCGGCAGAGCGCGGCTGGCTTCAGCGAGATGGAAGCACCGACTTCCTCCTATGAGAGAACCAAACCCGTGGAGGCCGGTAAGACCCGTGGACACCCCACCCCTGGGCTCTGCTGCTGGGAAGAGTTGTTGCCCCTTGCCTCGCCCTACGGCACCGGCGACGGTGCGCTGGGCACGGGCTGGGCGGAGGGGTGGCGGGAGCTGGAGCAGAAGACCGTGGCTTGCAGGCGGTCAGTGGGGGGCCGGCGTGGCAGGTAGGGCACGCGGGGGACCACGCTGGGCTCAGTGGACCGAGGGGCCAGCCCATTTCTGAGCAGCCGCCTCTGCTTGCTCACAGCGTCCAGCGGAGCCAGCAGCCTGAAGTCCCGGTTCGAGGGCATGGCCAAGTCGGCCGAGGAGGAGAGCAGGAAGAAGGCGGAGGAGGAGCGGGCCCGGCGCCAGGCCCGGGAGCAGCGCGAGCGGCAGGCCCAGGCCCGGCAGCAGGTGAGGGGCCCGAGCCCGGAGCCATGCGGGAACCCCTCTCCCGGGGACGCCCGACCTGGGTGGGATCAGCCCAGCCGCAGGCAGAGCCTCCCCCTTCCCCGGGGCGTCTGGGCTGGACTCATCCCAGTATGTCCCGCCCCGGTCTTGTACCCAACAAGACCCTCCCCAGTGTGGATCCGGGCTTGCTGCTGGCATGTGCTCCCCAGGCACAGCGTGACTCTCCCCCCCGGCTCAGGGCAGGACGTGGGGCTGAGTCCTGCGGGGGAGAAGGAGGGTCTCGCGTGACCCGGTCCATCGGGAGCAGGGGTGGGAGTCGCTCTGGGCCTCGTGCGGCAGAGCTGACACCTTGGACGTCTGTCCCCGCAGGAAACCCCCAAGGCTGCAGCAGTCTCCAAGGAGCTGGTCTCCCCGCCACCAGCTCCGGGACCCAAAAGGATTTCCGAGTATACAGCTGCACCGCCTGACCCTGTGCCCATGTCCATGCCCATGCCCGTGCCACGGCAGGTACGTGCCAGTGCCAGGGGGTCCTGGCCCCGGGAGATGCCACGGACAGCCATGGCTGGGGGAGAGCAGCGTGGGGGACAGGGAAGCACCGCCACTTCACCAGGCCGGAGGGACGTGGGGCTGCAGGAGTGGTGACCCCCGGTTCCTTCCCCAGGCTGAGGCAGAGCCGCAGGACGAGGAGGAGCCCCCCGCGCTGCCCCCGCGCCCCGCCGACCTGGGCGAGGAGCCTGGGGGGCCGCAGGAGGTGCCCAAGCCAGAGCCACCCATCTACAGCGAGAGCGTCGAGCTGGACGCAGACTATGAGGAACTGCCCGAGCCCTCGGACTACGAGGACAGTGGCGTTGCTGACTACGAGGAGGTGCCGGAGCTCGCGGGCGAGGACGAGGGCGAGGACTACGAGGAGATCCTTTCTGACCCAGAGCCGTGCGGCGACCAGAGCGCACCCTGCCCCGGTGGGTTGCGTGTCCAAGCGTGTGCGGTGTCCCCATATTGCTGCGGGGAGCCCCGCCGCTGGCCAGAGCTGCAGTAACAGGTGCACGGCAGGGTGGGAGCGAGTGTTTCCCTGCCCTGAGCCATGGGTGCAGCCATGCTCGGCCTCGCCCTGCATCCAGGCAGGTGCCACGACCCCGCAGCACTAACTCCTGCCTCTGCCCCATCAGAGGGGGATCGCAGCTCGCACAGGGGCTGCCATGGGCAAAGCTGGGGGTGCATCCGTTCTTGCCCCCGGGTCAGCTCTGGCTGGGTCTGGGTTAGGGTTAGGGTGCAGCGGAGGGAGCAGCCTCCATGCGTGGATCAAGGATGTTGGAAAGTGGGGTGCAGACAGAGAGGGGCATCGTATGTAGAACACAAGGCATTTTTCGCCCCTTAGAAAGAAACTGGAAGTATTAGTAATAGGCCAGAAGCCGAGGGGTGTAGCACAGAGTGTAAGATCAAAAGAAAAAGAAATGTAACGTCATGGGAATGTGCCTTCATTTGCTGGAGCAGACGCTGCCTAAATGCACAACCGGCCAGGCCAAAAGTAGCCCAGAGACATTGCTTATTGAGTCCTCATGTTACTCAAATGAAATGTAAATTGCTTTCATAAATTCATCCAAAGGGATGCCCCCCCCACCTCGATGCATGTTCACCCCAGCTCACGTTCCCACACCTGAGCTGATGCCTGTAGCCAGAGTTAAGAGCAGTCTTCAGGGCTGCGATGTCAAGGGAGCGACTAATACTAAACCGTGGGAGAAAGTAAAGCTTGATGAGTGCAACGTCCAGACCATGCGAGAGCAGAGGGTCATTAACACTGGGGAGGGAGGAGATTGCAGTGAAGTCCGGGGACCGGGGAGCTCGTTTGTGGAGCGGGGTGGTCACACGGGCAGCCCAGGCTTGACCCGGCCTGTGCTTTCCTGCAGAAGAGGCTGAGAACGTGTACGAAGTGGACATCGCTGGGATCTGTGCCGTAGCCCTGTACGACTACCAAGGAGGTGGGTCTGTGCTGGGGCGCTGAGTGGCCGCAGGTCAGAGGGAGGGAAGCTTTGCAGCGAAGGACGGCGAAGCTGCTGGAGGGGCTCCTAGGGTTCAGGCGTCCGGGATTAAGCCCCATTGCGGCCCCCATGTAGGCTGCTTCCTTCCTCCACTGGTGCCCAACGGCCGCAGACCCGGCCTGCGAGCAGGTGGATTCAGGGTCTGGTTCAGACTGTCCAAACCTGGAGCCGGTGCTGGGGTGGGACACGGGGAAGGGTCCTGGACCCTGCCACCTGCCTCCCGGGGACTCACGGCCTGCTTGGTGTTCGCAGAGGGGGATGACGAGATCTCCTTCGATCCCAACGACACCATCACGCACATCGAGATGGTGGACGAGGGCTGGTGGCGGGGCCGGAGCCGCGGCAAAGTCGGCCTCTTCCCAGCCAACTACGTGAAGCTGCTCGAGTGAGGTCTGCTCCTGCCGGAGCCCCCACCCCGCCTCGCTGCCTCCCTTCGCTTCAGCCTGCGTGTGCAACCAGGACCCCCAGCACCGTCCCAGCTTCCCAGGGCTCGGCCCAGCGCATCAGGGAGGAGAGCAGCGAGGAAGAGCCGCTGGACTCCCAGGCTAGCCTGTGCACGGGGAGGGAGAATCGCAGGGTCTTTTCCCCGCGCTGTGCCGTGCTGGAGAGCCCAGGGGGTGGGAGAGGCAGGCATGGCCTGTCCCCTCTCGAGGAGGCTAGCTCCAACCTGGCCCCAGGGTGTGTGCAATAAACCCTATGGCTTTTCCTTCTGGGGGCAGTGGTTCCCAGCCAGGCTGGGGCAGGTGTGTGGCTGCCATGGGGTATGGGAC